AGTGACTATTCAATTAATTAAAACATTAAAAAGTACTAAAATAAGCTTCCCTTATATTGGGCGGACACCTCTCTTGGGCGGACAAAAAATGACCGACGGTGAGTGTCCGCCCAAGGGGTTTCACTGTATATATGTATGTAGGTGTACACCCAAGAGCACCCAATTTTCCTTTTCTGTCCAATTCTAAACTGCAACTGCCACAATTCGTCTTGATTCAAAGGTCATTTTAAAGCGTCTGAGCTTTATGATTCCGCTATGATCAAATCATTTTCACTTCATTATTTATAATTTTTATTTATCTTTCACAATTCAAAAGCGAAGCAAAAATGCACAAATTTCATTTGGCGGTCAACAATATGAAAGCACTTGGACGACAAAATAGAGTGCAAATTAATTCGTAACGCCAAGCGAATATGCCCAAAAAAAAAGGCGAACGAGAAAATGCGAATGCTGTAGAATCAACAGATGGAATGAAATTGCATATTTACATAAGCAAACATATGTACATACATACAAGCGGATAAATATACATATGTATGTATGTATGTATGTATATATAAACCTATGCAAACTAACAAGTTTCCACAGAATGAACGAAGCGGAGCAGCAATATTTGGGTGCATCGCCGAAATGGGATGAGAAAAAAGCAGTCCGCATTAAACTAAAGCATGGACGGCACATCTCTTGTGCCTCTTTCGCCCCAGCAGAATTTTCTTGTGTGTCTCAGCTAAGCGTGGATAATTTGCCTCTTTATTTTCTGTGGCCTTTCTGTGTTTTTTTTTTTTGATAATTTTCATACGAAGAAGTATGTATGTATGTATGCACATATGTGCACTACGCTTCACTTGAATAGGCGCATTTCGCGAACCTGACTTTACTTTTACTATACTAAAATGCAACCGTGCGCCGCTTTGCCGGTTGATCTTTTTTTCTGTTTATTATAATAAACGTAATTTTTACTTTGAATATTACCTAATTTATTATTCATAACTGAACAATTAATTTCCAAAAAAAATAATTAGTTGAAATCATTTCTGTTAGTCTATTCAAAATTACGCACTTGCAGCAGAAATAAAAGTTGCTGGTGTAGCACGAGCAAGTTGAAATATGTTTTTGAAATCGGTTTTCGCTCTTTCAATTGCAGTCACATCTTGCAACTTTTATTTCATAAACTGATTTCGGAAATGTGACAGAAAGGTCCTTCTGGCTGTGCCCACATCGAAATAAAATTTCTCTTTCTCATTTTGACAGCGAATTGCGTGGAAAAGTTGGTCATATTGCCACGTCTGACATGCATTATAGATTGGTGTCTGCAGTTTTTTTGCAAGTAGTACACAAGTTTCATTGAAACAAAAAAATTGCTGTCGTTTATATTTTTTTCTGCGATGACCGATGGGTCACTGCTGAACATTTTATGTACATCATCGCATGCAACATAGTAGACAAAATCCGGTTTCATTCATAAATAAACGACTTCGAAAGCTTTAAGGGAATTCCCCTATACAAACGTACATACTACTATGTACATACATACATACATTCTACATACATACAAAAGGTGTTTTTGACTTGTAATTAAATAAGACAAGTGATAATCAGTTAAACAAATAATGAATGACTAGAAATACTGTGCGCTTGTTTGTACTTCTAAATACATACATACATACATATGTAATTAAGCATATGCATATAAAGGGTGATTTTTTTGAGGTTAGGATTTTCATGCATTAGTATTTGACAGATCACGTGGGATTTCAGACATGGTGTCAAAGAGAAAGATGCTCAGTATGCTTTGACATTTCATCATGAATAGACTTACTAACGAGCAACGCTTGCAAATCATTGAATTTTATTACCAAAATCAGTGTTCGGTTCGCTTTACGTCCGATTTATGGTCTACATAATCGACCAAGTGAGCAAACAATTAATGCGATTGTGACCAAGTTTCGCACTCAGTTTACTTTATTGGACATTAAACCAACCACACGAATGCGTACAGTGCGTACAGAAGAGAATATTGCGTCTGTTTCTGAGAGTGTTGCTGAAGACCGTGAAATGTCGATTCGTCGCCGTTCGCAGCAATTGGGTTTGCGAAACACATTTCGAACCGAACACTGATTTTGGTAATAAAATTCAATGATTTGCAAGCGTTGCTCGTTAGTAAGTCTATTCATGATGAAATGTCAAAGCATACTGAGCATCTTTCTCTTTGACACCATGTCTGAAATCCCACGTGATCTGTCAAATACTAATGCATGAAAATCCTAACCTCAAAAAAATCACCCGTTATGTACATATGTACACACGCATATGGTACGTATGTACATGCGGATGTGTATGTGTACCGATTATCTGAAGAAATAAAAGGTAGATACATATAAACTAATGCTTTTCGAAACAAATAAAAAAGTGTGTGTGAGTCGGGAATGTATGAATTTCACAGTTTCTTAAATAAATGCTATCTAAGCTATATGGCGTGTCGTCCTCACTTTCTTAATTAAGATTAAAAATAACCTAAATTGTCACAATCACGCACACATGAGTAAAAACAACACCCACATTCATATCTAAATACATACACACATACATACATGCATACATATGCTCAACTCGACGAATTTTATTGCCAGAATACAACGCAAAACTCTGCGGCATTAATAAATTATTTCAAAAATAAAAATTCCTATAAAGCGACATTCTAAAAATATATACACACTAGAGGTATACGCCGCCGGGCCACGCCGCCGCCGCCGCCGTTTTTTGTCATTTCTCACGCGCCGCCGCCGAGTTACGAAAATATCGGCGCGGCGGCGGCGGCGGCGGCGTTCGGCGCCTAGGGAATTTTGTACAAAATTTTCATGTTGTATGCACATTGAAATACATCGTTTGAAGGAACTAAATACTACTCGTATAAAAGCACTATTTTACGAAATGAAAATTACATTTTTAAAAGATGTTTTTTTGTCATAATTTGGGCCACTGAACATTTAAAAAAAANCTAAATCGACAGGCCGCGACCTCTAAATGGCCTTTAAAAAATCTATAAAAATAGGCAATAATATTTCTCATAAAAACGAATCAAATTAGGGGGTAGGGTCTTTAAATTTTCAAAAAAAATCATTTTCAATGGGAAACCTAATGTATATACTATATAGACTTTCTTCTGTTCGCCCATCCATCAGCAGCAGTCACTCAACATTTGAATTCAATGAATGAATTAAATAGAATTATAATCTGATGACATGATGAGATTAGAAGCCTCATGGCTCTTTGGACTCTACCTTATGGGCAGTAGCGCCGGCGTTTCCAGACGCGCCGGCGTCGCCGCCGCCGCCGATTCTTTTTGAAGTTGAACACGCCGCCGCCGCAAAGCCTGTCGGCGTAAACCTCTAATACACACACGCATACGTATGTACATCCATATGTACATATATCTGTATATTAGGTATATAGTGCAGTGTCATCCGTTAGGAACAATCGCACATCAAAGCGAGGGCTGCCTTTTAAGTCCTGCACCTAGGCAATACTAAGCAAAGCATCGCCAGGGAAATTATTGTGTTGTTTGTAGTGGTGTAAAAAAAAATAGAACTAAACAATAACCATTTTTGTGCGATGAGTTTTTACAGGTGAGACTTGCGAAGAACAGAATACCTACATCGATCGTTTCGCCCAGCTACTGCTAAACTCTGGTTCAATGAGTTCGGGCGTGACCGTCATTCTATCGAAGATTAATATTTTGATTGTTGGAAACAGACTGACATCTTATATAAATACCATTAGATAATCAACCTGGGCGCTAGCCGGAATTAAATTTTACGTTAGTATTTATAATCCAAGAAGTTTTTTGTTTTCGTAGATTATCCCATAATTTGGCGGTTGTTCAAATGATGGCGTATGTCGACTGAAGGAGTGTGCAGAAAAAATTTAGCCAAGGCGGTGTAACATATCGCTTAAAAACGCAATCAAAGTTTTATCAATTCATACAGTTGGCATACAAAATAACAGATGGAAAGACATACATATATGTTCGCCATATTTGGGAAGTTTGGTTATCTGGTTGACTGAACATATTCTTCTTATCACTCGATTGGCGCCTTCACACAAATTTGTATATATTCTGACAGTTAAAGAGTGTTTTTGTTTGGATTTTTTTTTTTATTGAGCTGAACTCCTTCTCGATAAAAAAAAAAATGTCTAGATAACACCACTCTGTGATACCTAAATGACGAACATGGAGCTCATTCGCTGTTTACGTATTTCAAAGTAAGAAAATCCGAATAAAGTTGTTCGTGGCTAGAACACATGAAAGCAAATGGTAGACTGTTTTTTTTTAGAAAAACCTGTCTCTCGCAATTTGCACCTTATGCAAGGTAGAACTTCTTATGCTGAATTGAACACAAACCCTTTGTGTTAGGAGAATAGTGGAATACCAACCGCTGAAGAAAGATCATTATTCGCACAACCATTGCGAGCTTGTTGTTGTAACAGCATAAAAATACCCCAACAAATATTTTGGAGAATCATCTGAACTGACGGTCCTTGCCCAGATATATACATACGTACATATGTTTGTATGTATGTAGATCTGGGTGGTTCCGGTTACGTAGACCCAACTGTCGTACGACACAGAAGATTTGAAGGTCATCCGCCTTACAATCCGGCTTGGCACATGAAGATTGGTTTTTCTTTCACATCAGCAAAAAAAACATTGTGAGGGTTTTGCTATGCCGTTAAAGTCTTCAAAAACCTTGTTTTGGGGGTACGAACTTCAGAGTAACAAAATTGTGTTGGATAATACTTGAGAAACAACAATTTTTTTTCACTGATTAACTATACATATTTTTTTATTGCTATGCGCAACACTTAAAAGACAGTCCTCGTGCAAACCCAGCCACACACGCTTTTTAACCAAGGCACCAGGGAAAGAGTATCTTATGCATTATTGAATATTTGTTTTTTTACACTTTAAAATATTAGCTAAAGAATTTTCATTTCATTACCACAGCCTAAAATTTATCCTCGGACCATGGGACATTTATTGTTGTGTTTGGTTTATATTAAATATTTTTTATTTATTTTATTGCCTGGTGTGAGCTTCAAAATTGGTGACATGTTTACTTTGCCCACATCTGGGTATGTATTAAGTAGATTTGCTCGTAGCCAATTTTTATTGTTTGTAATTTTTTTGTACTTTAAAATATATCCATTGGCAACAGTTTGCGCGTTCTATCGTCATCATCATTGCTTTTATTGTAAACGTGAACATCAGCGCCAGCGCCAGCGCCGCTGTAGCATAACGTCCGCGAAGTATCTTTTAGATATAATTAACACGCAACACAAAGTGAAACTCTAATTGGTTTGTCACACTTCCGAACTTATGCGCTGACCTGCTGGCAGTTGAGCACGAGAAGATAAGCGCGTAGTTTTTATGTTTTTTTTTTCTTTAGCATACGTGTGTAATTTCTCATATGTATTATGTACATATGTATGTAAACTTATGAGTTTGCATGTGAAAAGTCGTACATATGTATATCCCTTGTGTTTCACCGACGCATCTATCTCGTCAATGCCATTTGAAATTTCGCGAATAGCTAGACTTATTAGATTCCCACTGTGCGAGGGGTTAGAGCCACATCAATAGGCTGGAGCACACTCAAAATTGTTTCACTTGAAACCACTTAATCACCAAACGTATTCACAGATGTAGCAAAAACACAACAAGCACACACGTCACCTCGACACCGTTGCTTTTCTTATTAGCATCTATTGCTGCATTCGAATTCACAGATGTGTCGCGTCGCGTCGATGCGTAAAAATGCAGTGAATTGACTACCCGCCAAATCGTTTCCATTCAACTGCCACTTCAACAGAGCACTCGTACGTACATATGTACACATGCCTATTTGTACGATAGGCCGACCGACCGACCTGCCGACCATCCAATTATCCGCCGACTACTGGTTTTTCGTCAACATCCAACTGCGGAAAACGCAGGTAACAGCGGCACCGATCTGCATCGTAGGACGTCGCCGGCCAAACTGTTTTGTACTCACTGCGCGCCGGATTTGTTTTTCCCACCCAGCACAATAAACCAATAGAATTACTTACACAGTCAAATACCTTTGGCTATACGCACACACCTACATATGTATGTATATATGTAGTACGGAGGCATGCGCGCGCGTCCCACAGGCGTCACCCCAAATGCCGTTGTTGCTGACGACTAGCGTGTTGCATGCACTATACTTGTACGTTTGTATGTACATATGTATGTATGTATGTATGTATATTGTAACGTGTTTAAGAGTATACTTTTATGACATATTCGTAGTCACATGTACGTTTGTATATCAGTATGTATTTCGGCGCTGATGTTGTCTTATTGCCTGCACTATTAGTTTTGTTTGTTGCCTGTTCGTTTTCAAGAGCTTGTTCGTGTCGTACAATAAGAGCATCGTAGCTACCTAGCAACATGTTGTTGAAAGCGCGTCGGCAACAAACTAACACTTCGGAGAGGAAGCTGAGAACTTGCAGAAACGACAGAAACTCATTGATACGGTGGGGCGTATGAGTAATACTTGTTGCTATAGGTATTCATACTACTGGTTATGCTTTTCTGTTCTCATAACAGGTATGTATATTAGCGATATGGGGTTTGGGTTTATGCGTAAGATGTCATTTAACTGAAAACATTACTATAGTATATTCAGTGGAAATTTAAAAACTTAGTAGTGAACAGACGTATGTTTGTGTGCCGGTATGAATTTTTTATCATTTTTTTATCATATGGATCATTCCATACAATATGGGTCATTCCATACATCTCAATATTTTTTTGGGGTGAAATATATTTTTTTTACATTCTTTGGGCGTGTGTTAATCGGTAACAAAGTACTATGGGGAAAGCTGTTGAATAATATTTTTACTAGGGTGAGACAGTTTTGCCAATCTGCTGTGTGAAATTAAATATTTTTTGACAGCAGGAAACTTTTTGATAACCGCAGATTTATTTGGAATAAAATATTACAAATTGAAGTGAAATGAATATTTTAAGAAAACATCTACCATCGTTGATTGCAATTCATTTAACGAAAAATTACACACATCAACAATATTTGCGATTCTCAAAACTACTGAAATTTTATTCACCTCATAGTTGTCAAAAATTTATCGCAAAAAGAAGACACCTATTTTTTTATTTCGACATGATATTCGAAAATCTCGAAAAAAATTCCCGAAATTTTGAACTCTTTGTTTAATTTTTTGCAGTTAATAAACTATTTGTCGGAGAAAATCTGTTAAGGTATCGAAACGTGCGTAATTACCTCAGCTTTCCATGGGAGTGTGAGATAGATTAAAAAAAAAAATATTTGCAATAAAAAATTTTAATTTTTTATTTTTTTTTTTATTAACTTCATCATGTTTGATTTTATGTTCAGCCTGAATATCTGTCAAACTTTATGAAGTAAGCTGCAAAAATTTGAGAGTGAAAACGTCAAAATTGTAGAAGTTACGAAGTTTTTCACACCTGTGTACATAAAGTTTAGACTAAAGTTTCTCCGACAAATAGTTTATTAACTGCAAACAATTAAAAAAAGATACTTCTCCGTGAGTTCAATGTTTCGAGATTTTTTCGAGATGAATATCATGGCGAAATAAAAAATTTGGAGTCGTCTTTTTTTCGATAAAGAATGTAAAAAAATATATTTCACCCCAAAAAAATATTGAGGTGTAAATATTGTATGGAATGACCCATATGTTAAATAGTTACGTCTCGAAATACGTACATACGTACATATGTATATGTATTTTAATAACGCAATCACACACCCAAATTGATTAGAAATCACAGGAGTCAAGATAAGCGCTTGAAAATTCGTATTTATAGTCTGATTTGGAAGATATTTGTAAAAACCGTATTTTTAAGTAGCTGTTAAACGTGGCAAGTGCAAGTCCTTTTTCAAAAATCTGTCAAACTCAAGAATTTCCAAGAGAGATTGCAGGAGCAGTTAAGCCGAGTCAGACGTGGCAATATATTTCGAAAAGGCTGTCAAATTTAGACATTTCAGAAAGCAGTTGCATGAACAGTCACACCTTGCATGTAAAATGTCTTACGAAAGAGGTTTTTTATTTCCGAAAGGCGAGTTGCTGATTGCTAGTGTAGAACGAGCAAGTTTAAATATATTTCCGAAATCGATTTGCGCGCTTTGAGTTGCAGTCACACCTTGTAACTTTCATTTCTGAAACTGATTTCCGAAAAGTGACAGAAAGGTCTTTCTGGCTGTTTACACATGGAAATAAAATGTCTCTTTCTCAATTTGACAATTGCGTGGAAAAGTTGAAAATATTGCCAAGTCTGACACGCCTTAACCGTCTCCAATCGGGACCAAAATTTATACATATGTGATATCTTCGACTATAGTAGCATCGAGGTGGGCTAAGGAAATCTGATATATAGAAAGAATTGACTTACAAAAAAATGCAAAATGCGCAACGCTTGCTATTTTCAAAAATATTTGTGATCAGATTTCCCGCGATAGGATTAGGTGGGATCGGTAAGTTGCGGAAAACCCCATTCATGTTCAATTCTACTAAATAAAAAATTTTCATGTTAAATTGATGATTTGAAAAGGCTTATGAATTCATTTGGACACACTAAGAGATTCACGCTAGAAATTCTTTTCATATTTTCATTAATACGAATTTCTTTGCAAGTTTTTGGAAGTTCACTTGGAAGATTAGTTTTTGGAGCTTGAAACAATATAAGTTTCGAGTGATAAGTAGAAAGTTAATATGGGTACTTAAGCGGGTAAGATATCTGAACTTAAGTGGGATTCACTTTATGGTAAAATCAGTGTTGCCATTTTAGCCGTTTTCTGGCTAGATTTAGCCGGTTGCGATAGCAAACAGCCGGAGAAATTTCGGTTTAGCCGGCAGCCGATTTGTTAGCCTTTTTGTAAAAAAAAAATTAGCCAATATTGCTATTTCCCTTGTTTTCTTAAGATTCAAATATATATGTTTCCATTTTCGACTAAGCAATCGAAAATCTGTTAAAGAACTTTTTACTTACTTACCAATGTATATGTAGTTAGGTCGTCTATGTTTTCTCATCTTTTCTGTAAACTCTTGTTCGTATACGCTCTACTATTTCTGCAACGCCTTGCTCATTTACGCTTTACTATTTCTTCCCTTTTTTCACTGTTGGCTAAGCGTTAGAATTTAAGTTTAGTTTAGAATTAAAATTTTTGATTGAGTTGTAAAAATGTACAAAAAATACTTAATATCTTACCGTTGTTTTGAGATAAATAAATATTGATATTTAAATGGCTACTAGCCTTATCGCGAAGAAAATTTTCATGTCAGGCGGGGTTATATAAAATTGGGCCGATTTCGCTTATTTGTATTTTAAGTGAATATATTTTTTCTGAAATGTTTGTTATGAATGTCTTAAATTTAAGTGTGAAGTTTTATTCGCAAACTTAGAAAATAACAACTTGTTTCACTGTTTGCTTAACACGCGTTTGTGTTTGGATATAGTGCCAACACATAGAATAAATATTACAGGTATTGTCTTCCCAGATAGCTCATATTCAATTCTGTCTTAATTACAAAACATCATTGTTGCCCACGCTTAAAGGTTTATGGTACGGGAAAAATATATATTGTATTTGTATATGTATTGTTTTTTTGTATATTTTTTTAATTCTTATTTCGTTGAGAACTTATTTAAATTCCAAAAACCGAAAGCCAACTTGAATTTAAAGAACCAACACTGAAATTCGTCAAAATGAAAATAAAAGAGCCCAAATTTCTATGTAAAGCAAAACTTTCTGGGAAGCTAATAGGTTTGTTCGTCGAAAATCCAGCGAGAATTATCACTCAAAATATCAGATAGTAAGAAAAAATGCTCCCAACTTCTCTCTCAAGTAGAGAAACTTGCAAATTTCTGCACAAACGCAAGTTTTCAGGAATTTGCAAGTTTCCCTGCCAGCTAGTGTCCACGGTTGTATTCAGACATAAGAAATTTGTATACGATTTTTAAAAGTCTTTCAGAGGCGCAAAGGATCTATATGTAAATTTCTTGTTAGTTCGACTTTCTTCAACGTACGTTTCAATTTCTTTGCCGTAGTAACTGTCGGGTTTCCTATATAGACGCTGGTTGAGATTGCATTCCTATTACGAATACAGTTCTTTTCAGCCGAGTACCTTTCACATCATTGGAATTAACTAAATTAGTTAAGTAAACAACTATTTACTTACATTTTTCATTTTAAAATCGCTCAAGTTTGTAAATTTTTAAATTTAGCGAACAAATTAATATTGGCAGAACCACCATAAGTTTTTCCTAATAACAAATTCTTGCTGGCAAAATTTTTTCCAGCTTGAATTTGAAACTTCTCTCCAAGAACTAGTCTTTCCACTTGTGATTTGTTTAAATAAAACATGTGAAATTTTGTTGAAACAGTTTAGCCGTTTTTAGCCGTTTTTTTTTGCCAATTTATCCGGTTGGCCCAAAAAGTTGTGCCAACACTGGGTAAAATATGAAAATAGAAGTTCTTTATCTATTATATATGTGTATCCACTAACACATTAACCGGTCTATTCTGCGCTGGTAACATAAATTTTGTAACCGGTAATTAAAGTGTCTGTCAATTTTTAAACCATTTTCGCATTCTGTGCGCTCTTGTAACCGGTAAATTTGGTTACCATCTCATAAACTGGTAACAAAATATTACCCCGTGAAATATGCAATGCAAGAATTTCCACAAATCTTCACAGCTGAACTGCTGAATATTTTCACTGCATTACCAACGTACCTAGAATCGCGGTGACAAGAGGTGGTAACATTTTTTGGTAATACAATTTTCCGGTCACAACTGAAAGTATATTGAAAATATTTGAGATAGGACATTTTTGAATCGGCAGCCAAGTTAGGGTGTTTTTGAACCAAATTCTGAAATAGGGCGTCCTGCCGAAATCGCTCGATCTTCTTGTAAAAAGATTTTGGCGGTGCCATTGCTTAA